GTAGTTGGCAATGCATATATTTAATTTGAGTCCATGATTTCTTCCAGGATTAGCTAAATAGATCCACTCATCCTGGCTTGCATGGTCACCTCCTGAACGTAGGGTCCAGGCCACATGAGGTCACCCTCCTGTCAGCTTGTCCCTCCAGCCAGATTGTTAGTCTACGCCCTGGGGCCTGAGCATGCCTGGCCCATCCTCAAGCCTGCCCTGGTCTTGCTGGTATTTCGAGTTCCAGCTCATACCTCGTTTCCTCCAAGCCTTCCCTGACCTCTTTAGTCCGGTAAGCTCCTCCTCCACCGAGCCTCTCCCACTGGCCTTTCCCCAGTGAGGCACTTCCTCGAGTGCTGCCTGTTGAGTCACTTGCCTTTCCATGTAGCACCATGAGGACAGGGACACTCCTTGTTTGCACCTCCTCAGGAATCCACGGAGGGCTCTGCATGGAGCCTGGGAGATGTTGACTGTGGAATGACTGAGAAGGGCCAGGTAACTCGTAGGTGTGCAAGAGTGAATGGAAACTGTTGAAATCTCCACTATAGACAGAGAAAAAAAAATCCTACTAGAAACAAGTGACCTTACCCCTGGGTTTGAGTTTAAGAGCTATTTTCTCCAATTTGATCATCAAAATATGGCAAGGGAACACTGTTGCCATGAAGTCTTACGAAGACCTTGCATGTTATCCAGGCCTCTGGTCCCCTCCTCTCTCTCTAACAAAATATACTTTAAAATTTTCCCTTGTGGGCCAGGCACAGTGGCTCACACTGGTAATCCTAGCACTTAGGGAGGCCAAAGTGGGCAGATTGCTTGAGCCTATGAGTTCAAGATCAGCTAAGGAAACATGGCAAAACCCCATTTATGCAGGAAAAAAACCTACAAAAAATAGCCTGGTATGGTAGCGTGTGCCTGTAGTCCCAGCTACTCCAGAGGCTGAGGCAGGAGGATCACTTGAGCCAGGGAGGTTGAGGCTGCAGTGAGCCTTGATTGCACCAATGCATTCCAGCCTGGAAAACAGAACAAGACCCTGTCTCAAAACAAGAAAATCCCTTGTGATTTTGTTTATTTACTATTTGGTGAATGAACTTGTCAGAAATCACATCATCAGCCACCCACTCCGGTCAGCCGTGGGCCAGGAGAGAAAGGGAGAGCAGGGCAGGTGCAGCTCCCACCTTCGTGGGACATGACATCATCTGATTTGTTCATTCAGTAGAAACTTCGCACACTCTTACAAAGCACCCAGCCTTGTGCTAGGTGAGCTCTGGGTATAGAAAACTGAGTAAGAGAGTGTGGTCCCTTGTGCTTAGGGCACACAATATCCATTGGAGGAAACAGCTAAACCAGGCATGAGTCACCAAGTTCTCAGTTTCTCAGAGGGTTTCATGAAGGTGTTAGATATACAGAATCACTCTAATACTATGTCCGGAACAAAAATACTTTCCATTAAAGAGCGAAGTTATCTCTTTTCCTCCCTGGCTGTCTGAGGATAGGCCACCATCATGAACGACACAGTAACTATCCACACTAGAAAGCTCATGCCCAACTGACTACTTCAGAGGAAACAAACGGTCACGGATGTCCTTGACCCTGGGAAGGCAGCAGTGCCTAAGACAGAAATTCGGGGAAAACTAGCCAAAATGTACAAGCCCACACCAGATGTCATCTTCATGTTTGGATTCAGAACTCATTTTGGTGGTGGCAAAACAACCGGCTTTGGCATGACTGACGATTCTCTGGATTATGCAAAGAAAAAGGAATGCAAACATAGACTTGCAAGACATGGCCTACGTGAGAAAAAGACCTCGAGAAAGCAATGAAATTATCACAGGAACGGAATATAGAAAGTCAGGGGGACTGCAAAGGCCGGTGTTGGTGCTGGCAAAAAGCAGACAGAGAAAAGGTGCTGCGATGATGCTATCTGTGACCGCTGTGGATTTTTCACGAGAAGATTAATAAACTAAAAACTTTAAAAAAAAAGGGGGGGGGCAAGATTGTAGGAATATGTTGAGGGCAAGGAAAGGAAGAGCAAACCTTCACTCTACCGCCCCAAAAAATCTCCCGCCTGGTCTCTGATAGTTTCATTTCTTTTCAAGAGAAAATAAAGCATTACATTTCATAAAAGACAAGGCTTAGAAAGCTGACTTCAACTGCTGCCATATTCCTGATGGGAGCAAGGAAACACAGGAGAAAACAAAGCATACCCATTTTACAGATGAGGAGACTGGGGCTCTGTGGGGAGGGCTGAGCAGGTTGGCCGGGATCGCGGGTGAGTTAGAGGAGGTGGCATTGCTCCAGCCCACATCTCCAGCTTCTCAGGCATCCCTCTCTCCCAGTCTCCTCCATTTAACCCTGCTTGCCAGCCCAGGGCACCAGTCTTGGGCATAGTGGGCTCTCTGCTGCCTCGTGGGGTCCCAGCAGGATTAACTTTCATGAAGCCAGGTAGAGAAAGGCTGAGGACGAGCAGCCTCAGTGCAGGTTGCGAAGGCCCAGCCCCACCGAACCGGTGCACAGAGCCAGCCTGCTGTTCTGCAAGCACAGCCTGCTAGATGCCATGCAGACGGTCTGAGCCAGGAAGTCAATCTGAAGCTTCAGGGTAGCTGTGTGAGTGGAGGAAAAGCAATGTGATATCTATCTGACTGATGACTCAGAAGTATGAACTTGGGGGCCTTTCCTTCCTGACCCACCTGACAGGGCCATGGCCAACACAACCGTGTGTGTGCACCAGCAAGCCTGTCACATCACAGGTCTCCTGTCACAGCCTCTGTTGAGCCCCAGACAGAATCCAGTGTGAGCAGATTTCTCATGCTCCAGGCTTCCCTCACAAAGCTGCATTTCCCTCAGCTACTCCCTTGCCTATTTGGAAAGAACAGCAGGAAAAGGGCAGATGGACCTTGATGAATCTTTTAAAAATCCCCTACTGGATTCCAGACCTGGACTACTCAAAGGTGTGTAATTGGATCTTCTCCTCTATACAAACTCGTTTCCTGGGGTCTTCATACTCCCCACTTCTTCCTCTCCCATAAAAACCTGATTTTAAGAAGGGAAGACATCAAATCATTCACGTGGAGGACCACATGAATAAGAGTACCTTCACATGGCACTTGCCCTAACAGGGATCAAGAAACCTTTTGCAAAGGAATGCCTCTATGAGTGTTACCGGATGGGAAGTCATGACTGTGAGTTGTCCAGGTTCTTGGCATGTTGAACAAAGAATTTAACAAAATGCACAGAGCAACATAAGAACGAAGCAACGAAAGTGCAGATTTATTGAAGGGAAAGTACACTCTCTAGAGTGAGAGTGGGCTCGGTCGGGCAGGCAGCTCAACGGCCCCAATTACAATGTTCTTTGCAGTTTTTGTTAAGCTGAAATAATTTAGTAACACGGCTAGGTGCCCTTTAGAGGCCTCCAATTGGTGACCAATCAGAGGCTGAAGTGGAAACTGCACTGTTATCACAGGAGTGAGGATGTGGCCTGAATGCTGCCTAATCTTGCCTAGAACTGGCTGCACCTGCTGTTCCTTGGTTTATATTTTGACCCGTGGTTACTCTAATTCCCTATTCTCCTGCCTCATAAGGGTGGTGGTAGGCATTAGCTAGGGCACAGATGGGGCATCTTAGACAGAAGAGACTTATTCTTAACTCAAAAAGCCATACCTGGTTGTCCTTTTTTTGGGGGGGGTTCAATCACCCAGCTTTGTCCTGGACCTGGTCTGGGCACACTGTGCTGGAAGGATCTGGCCCAGTCCACCAGCACAGCTTCCTCAAGGGGTCTTTCTGGTCTACTTGATTCACCACAGCTTGGCCATTTGCAGTCCAGTTTTGTAGTTCATCTCTTTGTATTCATATGTATTCTGACTCCTCATTTGCCCTGAAAGGTCATCTGAGGGTAGAAACCTGACCATCTTCCTTGTTCTTTCTTATCCTGAAAGGTCCATGTGATTTTTGACAATGAATATGATTTCTATTTGACCTTGGAATGAGTTTTTCATTTGATTGTCAGCAGGTTTGATGTTTAGGGATTTCTACTTGCAGCGAAATCTAATGTCACACCTAGCAGGAATTGGGTCCTTTTAACATGTGACTAAATTCCAATCAACCCAAGCCAGGAAGACCTAATTCACAGGGGCCAGGGAAGATGCTCACTTCTCCACTTCTGCACGAAACCAACTCCAGTCTGGAAAGAAGCAACTCTTCCATTATCTGTTGGAGATCCCGTATTGCCTATAAAGTCGGAGTAAACAGTGTGTGAGATGTTGACCAAGCACAACGGGATGGAACAGATGCCCTCTCATTAACGCAGGGCAAATGGCAGAGTTCTGTAGCCATTCTCAGTAAAAATGGAAAACAAGGTGTGTTAAAGTAAACACAGCCTGACACTGTTGAGAAAACACTGGTGGTCTTTATTTTCCAGAAATGAAGTCAAAGTGTTGCTTACTGGTTGTCAAATCACCACACTTGAAGGGCTGTAAACACAGCCAGTGTTCAGAGTTAGGGTCACTACATGGGAGGCCCAGAAATCAAGTGTCCCAATCACACCAAGCAGGCCAAGAGAGGGCTGGGGAGGGAGATTTTCCGCCCTGTCCTTTTCGGCCCCTTGGTGGTTCCTTGGCCAGTGTGAGTACACTGATTTGCACAACGACTGCTTTCGCTTGGTACAAAAATGGACTGATGTTTTAAGTTGAATCATAGTTCAACCACTGAAGCGTTAGAAGGGTCCACAGCCCACCCCTTTCTGCTGGAAATGTCTTATGTTATCATCTAACAAGGCGTCCCTAGCCATTCACCGTTGGTCTGAGTGTTGGGACCTCATTGATAAATATATTTATTCCGAGTTTACGTGCCACTCCCTTCCAGGCAGTGCAGCAGAGCAGAGGATAACCAGGAGACAATTTGGGTTTCTCAGTTTCGTTAGGAACACACTTTTTACATGAGTGCCCTAAGTGCAGCCACTGTTTCCCACCAAGCAAGACAATGATCAGTCCTGCTTTGTTTGTTCCCACAGCTCAGGAACCTGGCTCAGAGCTGCTCCTCAGCACCAGCTGCTGGACTGGACAAGATTTTAGGGAAGGTGCAGCCACATACCAGGTAGGTGAAAACCCACCCCAGTGAACCGCTGCCAGGGAGGCCACCAGGGCACTGAGCCTCTCCATGAGCAGAGGCCTAACCTCAGCCTGCCCGGCTGACCTGGTCTCTAGGGCATTTTACATCACAGCAGCAGCGTGTGAGCCTGCTGCCCAGAGGAGCTGTGCAGGCGTGAGTAGCACCCAGCTTGTCCTCAGTGCGGCAGCCCAGGGACAAAGCATCAGGTTGTTCACTGAATCACCACAGTATTTTTGGCATCATGTGGGTATACTCCAAAAATAACCAAAGAGCTGGTGGGGCAGGGGGTGGGGGGACATTCACAAAAGCAAAATGTAGTCCATCTAAGAGGATTAAGTTTAAAGTTTTCTTTACTGAACTGGCCCAAACTGGATAGGCACTAACATCCCTCCCTAAGGCTCTCACTCAGGCAGCACTGGGCGGAACGAAAGCTTGAGCCAGCGATTGGACATTTGCCCTGGGCCAGACGCCCTCACCACGGCCACATTACATCACTCATCAAGCCCATCTTAGGAAGTGGATGCATGATTATCCCAGGGAGACTCTGGAAGTGGGCAGCACAGATAATGAGAAAGACTGGGATCCCCGGTCGGATGTGGGTGATGCCAGAGCTTCGGGTCTTTGCATGAGTAGGGTTAGATAAGCCTGAAACAGCACAACCAAGGCTCAGCAGGGAGGAGCAGATCAGACACCATGCCAGGCAGCCGATAGCACGCGGTCAAGCCCGAAGTGACCTCCAGGAAAGGAGGACATCCCTGTCATAACACTGCAGCCTGTCCCTTGCCCCAGACCCCACTACCTGGGCACCAAGTCCCCTTTCCAGGCTGCCGCGGACACGAGAGCGCTCGTCCACCGAGGCACGCGCAGGAGGGTCACTGAGTCACGCGGGAGGCCCACCGGCTGGGGCAGGGCCACGGGCTCCCTGCAGAGGGCGCCCCGTCCCCTTCGGAGGCGCAGAAACTAGCCGTGCTGGGACCTCCCTCCTGAGTGAAAGGCTCCGCAGTGTAGACAGGTTGTTTCTGCTGGAAGCATCTCCACGGAGCCACAGCAGTGGATGGCTGACACGATCTTCCCTGGCTGCCTCCCATCGTTCGAGAATTAAGGTTACAGAGCTGTTGTCCACACACCCTATCAGCCTTTGTGTTACAGGCTGTGATGTGACTTTTGTGAAAGAATCGGGGAGCGGCGGGAGAGGGAGGAAGGCCTGGGGGGCCATTTGCAGACACAGCCCCCCAGCCTCTCCCGAGGCACCGTCACCCCGGAGCGGGGGAGCTGACACCCGGCAGTTGCTCTTGGTAACTGAGCAGCTGTGGGGGATCCAGATCCAGAAGAGATGAAGGAAGGAGGGGAAGGAGGAGGTGTGCAGAGAGGGCGGAGCCTGCAGCGCTGTGCACCTGGGGGGCTTGCTCGAAGCCTCCTTATCTGGGACCTAACTGCGGTCAGACGGCCTGGGGGGGTCCAGGAGGCTGATGATGATGATAGAGATCATGGATTCTCTGAGGCAGTTACAGGAACTTATTTTCTTTATTAGGAGATGAAAACCACTTTCCCAAGCTCTCCGAACGGAAGAGAGACTTGGCTGAAGGTCTAAGCAATGCCGGAGGACTCCAGGAGGGCCAGTGTGTCTGGTCCCGACCACCGTGCCCTCAGGCTGTATTTGTTACCTGGGGAAGCCACTCCTTGCCACTGCACTCGTGAAGAGACCCCCGTGTCTCGTAAGGAGGTGGAGGTGCCCGCAGAAGCCCTTTAAGACGTCTGGTTATAGGCCACGCACAGTGGCTCACTTCCCAAGATCCCAGCACTTTGGGAGGCTGATCACCTGAGGCCGGGAGTTCAAGACCAGCCTGGCCAACATGGCAAAATCCCGTCTCTACTAAAAAATACAAAAATTAGCCGGGCATGGTGGCCAGCACCTGTAATCTCAGCTACTCAGGAGGCTGAGGCAGGAGAATTGCTTGAACCTGGGAGGCAGAAGCTGCAGTGAGCTGGGATCATGCCACTTTACTCCGGCCTGGGTGACACAGCAAGACTCCATCTCAGTGGGGAGAGGGAAGATGTGTGGTTAGAGATGGCTTAAATTTGCTATCTGGGAACCACATATCTTAATCTACACACCATGATTTTAATACTCATTTTTAGCAGTTAAAATTTCAAATTATATATGAACGCTAATGATCTCTTCTAAGCTAATATCCACAGTAGAGGAGAATCAGAAAATCTTGAATGGGAATCTAGCTAATGGAAGAGTCAAATGATTATGAATCTTGAGTAGACCTGCCGGGATACACAGTATTCAAGACGGCACATGAAATTAAAATACGTCTAACTTCCACGCCTGTCAATGAATTTCCAACCTTTTCCCCCATGTTACGGCCCAGGTCTCTCCAGTGCTTTCAAGGGCTATTATCTGTAATTGGCAAATGATCTCACTCATAGTATCCAATTATTCTCCTTCCAAAGACCTAAGAAAAGAAACCTGATTATCTTGCCAATTGATCTGTGTTACCAGATGTTTAGTTTGAGAATACAAAGCATACCTGTGAGACTATCCAAGCACAAAACACTTCTGACCCAAGCCGGCTGGTCCGATCATGAGACCAAGGCTCAAAACCTTGACTTTTATATGAGCTTAACCCAATCAATAGAATTTAAACATCTCCTGGAAGAAGGGGCAATGTCTTCATCCTCTGTGAGACTTCCCCCTACCCATGGGATCCTGTAGAGTGCTTTGCATACAGGAAGTGCTGAATAATTGAATATGCTGCCCTGTGGTCACAGGGACCACACCATCCAAATGCCAGTGATAATCTTCAATGACATTTACAGAGTCTGTGTGAATCAGACTAACCACATCTTTAAATCCTGACCCAATTTCACTCAGATTTGGCTGGACAACTGCCCTTACTAGCCCAGCTTCCAGACTGTCAATCACACAGCGATCTACGGGACACCTGGTACAGAGATCAATGCTGGGGATGGGGAAATGAATCCAGCAAGGTGTTCCAACACAGTGACAGGTGAGCAAGTCACCACAGGACAGGGAGACAGGTGTTCGACGCAGAGTGGGTGCAGGGCAGGCTTAGAGGAGGGTGCCCAGGTCTTCCCAGGGGTGTAAGGAGGCACCACCCAGAGGTGAGGTTTGAGTTGGATTCTGGTAAACAGTGGGAGTTTTCGGTGCCAGGCGAGGACCCTTCCAAGCAGAGAATAGCAGCGTCCTGAATGCCAGGGTGGATTTGAAGGGTGGCAGGGGACGCCATATGATTTTGTGAGGCTACCTTGAAAACAAACAGGATGCTAAGGGACAGCCCCACTAAGGATGTCATATGTTATTCCTTTATTCATGGAATTCTACTAAAGAATGAATCCTCAGTATTTTGGAGGACATGAATGAAGCCCTGTGAGAATCTGGTTTGTTTGTTTTTTTTTTTTTATTCTCTGTCCCCCTCCCCCTTGAAGCAATCCTCTGACTCCCATTTAAGAAATCCTGGTGTAGACTATTAAGTGCTTCAAAGCCAGCTGACAGCACGCTGCACCCACAGCTACACTCACAGATGCACTTGGGCTCTATTTCCCTGCTTCGGCCTCCACTGCCTGGTTTCCCTTCAGAACCACCCAAGTCCTTTTTCCCAAGAGATGTGTTAGGAGGTGAAATTTCCCAGCACCCACGCTCGGGGACTGGAGCCTGCCACACGCCTGCCCCTGCAGACGAGGTAATGCGTGGGCAGCATGAGCCTGCCTCCTGCCCTCTAGCGGCATTTCCCTTGAGCCCAGAGGCACCCCCTCAGTTTACTGTGTCCACAAACAGAACATTCTGGCATGGCCTGAATGCAACTGACTCTTTAGATGATGGTCTCTGATGAGATCAACCAAATCAACAAATGTAACTGAAAGGATGAGATTTGCTGATGTCCACAATGGGGCAAATTCAGATGGAGTCCTCCTGCTGCTGTTGATTCCTTCTGATTGCGCTTCTTTCTCGAGCTTCTGGTTCCTCTTCTGTAAACAGGGGGTGAGGATCCCTGCCCTATTCATGAGGTAGATGAGAATTAAAACCAGGTAAGATGACAAGGTGGAAAGTGCTCTGAGCTCTCAATCTTCTAAAATACCGTATATTATTGGTACTAAAGAAAGCAGTGGGGAACTAACGATAGACTCACAGAGGGAAAATGGCATTTTCCTACCACTCGAGCAAAATCTCAATAGAAAAACCAAAACAGCCAGCCAGTAGCAAGGGAATACATGATGTCTGTCATTTGTTATAAGGTATTGCAAATCCTTTTTACTTTTATGTGTTTATTATACAGTTTTAGAAAGGAAAAGGAAAGAAAAGAACCCAAGAACTTTCTTCTTTGTTACAAGAAGTGCAGGTTCTTCTGGAACACTGGCGGGCACACAGTCAGGGCCCAGCCATGTCCCCTTTTATCGAGAAAGAGCATGCTGACCTTGGAAAGATGCTGCGAGGACGAAGAGGCTGCCTAGGAAGGGGCAGCCAGGCCGCTATGGAACAGCTGGCAGGACCTTCAAGGGGAGCCCTGTCCCCCACCATCCCCCCAACCCTCACTTGCTCCACCACCCACTGCTTTTTCCAACACTCCACAACTTTTCCACCTGACTTCAGACTGGCTATGGGTGGTAAGAGCCGGGATAGGATGAGAGAAATGCACATGACCTCAGTGGAAAGCACATCAAGCCAGCCACGTAAGAGATCAAATGTCATTCAACAGATCTGTGAAGGCTCCATTCATTCACTGTGCACGTTCCACTTCCAGGTCTATACTGGGGCTGTGAAGATGAAAGAGACCATGTGCATTACAATGACAAGACAGGCAGATGAGCAGGACAAGTAGGTGGCACAGGTTTGCAGAGAGACACCCACTCCAGGCTGTGAGTGGTCCCTGGGTGGAAATGCAGAGGGGGTCCCTCGGCAAGCAGCAGAGAGGGTCCAGGCTGAGCACACAGAGCCCCGTGAGATCAAAGCAGTCGGG